GAATCCGTTTTAATTGATGAATATATCTAAGCATCTGTTCATCTACAATAGAGTGCTGTATGAATGGGTAAATGTGGGCACAGAGTGTGTTGTAAAGAGCTTTGAGTGTCTTGATAAGACTGAAAGGTTCTATATAAGTACAGTCCATTTACCATTTTTCAACCAAATAATATGGATTTTTAGTGACCAAAGCTTTTGTATTAACATGGAACGGTTTCCCCCTTGTTTCTCCTAAAACTGACACAAGGTTTTCTTGACTAAGCCATCAGACCCCTTGACTGGTAAGACACATTACCATTTTCTAAATCCATCTCCTCCTTGAAATATTTGAAATGGTAATACTCAGTGTTACTGTGTTCCGCTCTACTTCCAAGGCCTTACCACAACAGTACCTGGTGAATAATACAAACTGTCATTTTTATTCCCACAGCTGCTCATTGATTCACTGTTTTCACTGCATATTGCAGGAGCGTCATTTGTCAACAGTCAGAGCAGTTTTTTCCAGAGCAGCTGCATTTTATTGAACTTCATCACGTCTCTTCCTGTGGCTGTGCCATGCATTGATTTAATTCCTCCCAAATCCTCTCTGACGCACGAATAGGAGTGCAAGCTGTGGATAAAAGTTGACTGCTGGGCATTATCAAATATGTTGTTGTTGACATCTACAAGAGATTATGCAAAAAAATCTTTTCTTTTTTCCATTAGCTGCTGTGGTGTTTATCCTCAAGCTAATCTTTAAAAGTAAATTATTTTCAACACGAAACATGGCACCGGTGGCATGGTGGCTCAGTTGGTAGAGTTGTTGCCTCTCAGTGAGAAGCTGGTTCAAATCCAGACTTGGGACCTTTCTGGGTGGAGTTTGCCTGTTGCATAAATCACAAATTCTGTCCTGCTGCACTGCCTGATTACACCTTGCCACTCAAGCAGCATAAAAAGTTATTAAAATGTGGATGGTCAATGAAAGGTCCAAGTGACTCCCCCCCCCCCCCCGCCACCACCATAACTGATTCTGTGATGTCAATTTTTGGTTTTAAGACACCATTTCAGAGGCCAACCAGGCCCTCGCGAGCTAGTATCCCTATCGGCCTGTCTACAAGATGGGCGCCAGTTTGTGATGGGAGACTGTAATGCGGCTGATATCCTAAACAACACGGACCTCAGCATCATTCAGTTCAATTCAGTTTATTTATATAGCTCCACGTCACAACAGAAGTCATCTCAGTACACTGAACAGAAATATTCATATATAAAAATAATAATTTAGCATTATTTATCTGAGGAGCAGACTGCTTTGAACTTAACTCCATCACAGACCTCTCATCTTGAGCAAGCATGAAGGTGACAGTGGAAAGGAAAAACTCCCTCTTGAGGAAGAAACCTTTAGTAGAACCAGGCTCAGGACAAGCGGCCATCTGCTTCAACTGGGTAGGTTTGGTAGGAACAGATACACGACAGGTCAGGAAATGAGATCAATTTGTCCTCTAGTTGTGTAATCAATAGCAGCATAACAAGCCAACCATAACTATAGGATTTATCAAAAAGGAAAGTCTTAAGCCCATTCTTAAAACTGGTCATGTGTCAGCCGAGGACTTTAAGAATAATTATAATGTTTTTATTTTAAGTAATATTCTTACTATAGACATCAGATTTTTATTGTGCCCTATTATTAAATGTCTATACATCAGTCCCTCGCTACTTTGTGGTTCGCTTTTTGCGGACTCGCTCTATCGCGATTTTGTATATGTATATATATATATGTACATATGTATATATATATGTATATATGTACATATGTATATATATATGTATATATATGTACATATGTATATATATATATGTACATATGTATATATATATATGTACATATGTATATATATATGTATATATGTACATATGTATATATATGTATATATATGTACATATGTGTATATATATGTACATATGTGTATATATATATATGTATGTATATATGTACATATGTGTATTTATATATGTATGTATATATGTA